TGGGGCCAGAATCACGTGGACTGGGGGTATCCTGGGACAATGACGTCTCAGCTGGCTGCAGGAAAGAACCAGACAAGCTCAGTGTAAGTCCGGCTGGGCAGACAGTCGGAGCTCAGGACGAAGCAAGGCAGGGTGTCAGAGTCCAGGGGCTGAACCGGGGAACACAAGAATGCCAAGCTCCAGGGCCATGGCAGAGAAACGAGATGCCACGTCCAAGAGGGCCTGTACCCCTCTTGGGTACTGATGCTTTGCCTGAGCAAGGGGGCTTCTAGATGTTTCCCGTTGGATCAGGAGTCTAGAAATTGCTCCTCCTGTGGCAGAGGGAGAGAGAGGGAGATAGGCACTGTATCAGTAGGAGAAGCTCAACAGAGCACGAAGTGAAGAGAAAGTAAGGGAGCTCCTGGGACGACAGCTCCAAGCAATCTCTATGCAGAAAACGAAGGCTCCTTTCTGATCCTATTCCCTTTCAAAATGAATAGCACAAATACAGTATTGTAATCCCAACAATGGCCTGGACAGAAACCAGCCATGTCAAAAAGGTGATTATTTCCCTCTATTGTTTGCTTTTAGCTCTAGATGGCATTAACCCCAAATCTCAAAATCAGGAGCTTGAGATTTTCACCATTTCTACTGGTGAGAGCCAATTGATATCAGTGCAGTCTGAATAACAGCAAAATAGCACCCTAGAGAACTGAGACAAATGCTTCGGCATTGTACCTTGGTCCCCTATGGGGAACAGGCGGGAGGGGCCAATACCAAATTCTCAGTGGGTTTGAGCCTTACTGGCTGATTGCCACAGTGAGGGGTGGGGAGCACTTCAAACTCCCTGAATTCATTTCTATCCAAAGGAAAGTGTGAAAAGCTCTTCATCTCCAAAAATAGTCCTTTGCAATGATTGTCCAAAAAATATCTTCAAGAGTGATTATACCCGCTCACCAGGCAGAGCAGAACTGATCCATTATCTTGAGTTTCGTCTTGGAAAATGCGTTGATGTCTATGGGACCCCTGACAATAGCCTGCAAGCCTTCTGAGAACCCATGATTCATCTGTCTCCCCCAGGGCCACTAGCACATGGCTTTGCACACGATAGATACATGGTTACAAACAGGTGGATTGAAAGCAATTCTCATGGGCTTTTAAAAATCAAAAGAAAATCTCAAAGTCAGACTAGGTAAAGACTCATCTCTTTCTGAAAACCACCAGATGAACTGTACCTCTGATTCTAACCAGTTACTCAACTTCCCTCCCTGTCTATCTGAGCTGGAATGTATTACTCTATACCCATCAGCAATCTGGTTTTAATATTTGGAGGCACTTCACACCAACGTGTGTGTTGTTGGATGGCAGGAATTGCTCATCCTCAATTACTTCGATCTCCGCACAATGCCTGGAATAGTGTCTTGATCATAGAAGTGGCTCAATTCATGATTGCTAAATAGCCAATTTCATTTGTAATTTCCGAGACAGCCCCAGGAGAGGAGGCAAAGAGGACCAATGTAATCAACTGATGGACTTGACTAATTTCTTTGCTTCAACAAGTGGTGAGTTGTGGAGCAAAGAGCCTCCACGCCCTGCCTTGGTGAGGAAAGCTCCTCCACAGGCCACTGGGTCCATCACACACATCTGTTTGCCCTGTCCTAAAACTGCCACCCCAACATTCCTTCCTGTCACTGAGCCACTTGCACTTTCAATGCTTCCAAAATAGTAAAAAGCAGGGGGGAAGGATTGTGTCCATCGGTAGAGCCCCCAAACCCTTCTCCCACAACCTACAAAGGCCTTCGATGGAATCAGAGGCTAACCTGATAAGACTGTGGTGGGCACCAAGTTCCAACCCCACTCCCTCACGCACACCATGGAAAACCATCTCCAGTGTGTGGTCACCTGTCCTTTGACTTCACATTGCTTCCGACAAAGCGCCAGCTTCCTGACAGCCCACTCCCCGTCAGATTCTTCTTTGGGTTACGCTGAAGGCTTTCTGCTACAACTACCACCAATGGGTTCTAATTTTGCCCTCCACAGCCACATACAATAAATCTTAAGGCCTCTTCCACATGAAAATCCTTTAGGGAGCTAAAGACAATATTCTTCACAATTTATCCAAATTAGAAGCTTACTGTATGATACTGTAGTGAGCTGGGAACAGGGCTTTCCTGTCCAACTAGTTTAGGAGCCTCCCTCCAGCAGAGTCCCGGAAGTGACATATGCCGACACTTTACCGGCAGACAGAGAGAGCCCCTTGTTCCTTAGCCCGGTAACAACAGAGGTCGTTCATCACCCACTTGCTCCTTTTTGAAATTCACTCTGCAGCAAGCACTTTTTAAAGTCACGCACGTAATGCATTTTAAAGAGCATCTTCTGTACGGCTCCATTTGCTCAACCTCGGCCCTAAGTGTGAGATGGAATAGCATTTCAGTGCAGTCCCCCGCTCCTTCCTCCCAGAGCCTGTAGTGAATGTACACTGAGATGTATTTGTGACTAAACAGGACTGGGGCTCAAAAATGCAGTGTTTTGTTAAATGTTTGTTTGCTGATTAAAATGCATCTTGCAAAGAAAGCGCATTGCTAATGCAGAATCTAGTCCAAAAGTATGTATTATGTAATGCACATTTTTTAATAATGCAGGCAATCTCGGTGTATCTATATTAGTGAATCAGCTCTGGGCTGCCATCTCCTTTATAGGCATAAAGCACTCCATCTGAAGAATGAAGTACTTTCTTATGTACACTGAAGAATCATAATCTACCTTGTTGCTGACAGCTGACATTAGTTTCCATTCAAAGGACATTTACTAGCACCCATATATTCCTGATGTTTCCCCCAATGTGCCCTGAAATCAGCTTGAATAATATCTTTGTTTCATATGCTGTCAGTGGAGCTGTGCTAATTAGAAGAAATAAAGTGGGTGGGTCAGTGTAGGCAGACCCTCTAGAAACGTGCCCCATTAGTCAGGACCGAGAGGCAGAGATCAGGATTTGACATCTACAGCTCTAAATGCCCCTGTAGAGTGTCCCATGATAATATCCACACAGCCATGCAGGCACCTGTGATAATAAAACCCTTGCAGTTCCTCAGGAAAAGTGGTAGAGCAGGGCACAACGGGAACATAGACATTTGTCCTTTTGTGGGGTTTGACAAATCAATCCCACTTTATTAGACCAACCTCCCAGGTTCAAGCAATTCTTGTGGCTCAGCCACCCGAGTAGCTGGAACTACAGGCGTGCGCCAACACGCCTGGCTAATTTTCGCATTTTTAGTAGAGACAGGGTTTCACCACGTTGGTCAGGCTGCTCTCAAATTCCTGGCCTCAAGTGATCCAACTGCCTCAGGCTCCCAAAGTGCTGGGATTATAGGTGAGAGGCACCAGGCCCAGTCCAATCACTATTTTAAGGCTACAAACTAACACAGAGTGCAAGATACAAGCTATAGACACAGCCAAGATGCAGAAAGGAAAACCTCAACACATCCAAAGCAGTTGCTGGTCTCTCACTGGGGTATGAACTCTGCACTTGGTGGCTTTAATGCGGGTGTGGTGTTGAAGGTGTGAGGTTAAGTTCCATCATGGTGAGAATGGCTGTGGGTACCTGACTGACTCTTCACACACCAGGCAGAAGTACCAGTACCAGGAGGGCCTGGTGGGCCACCCAGTGGTGGAGCCTCTTTTTTGAAGATTCCCCATACTGACTCAAGAAGGAGGAAAGGACTACAACCTGTGACATGTGTCCTAAGTGAAACAACCTTCCTGATACTCCCATGGATTCCAGGACGATGGCTTTGCTCTGAGTTGTTTCGCCTTTGGACTTGTCACTATGGCCAAAAGGGCACTCCATAATCATCATGGAGGGCCAGACTGAGGACACGCACACCCCAAAAGCAGCAGCCAGGTTAGCTCCCACTGCAGGGATCTCCTCCTGTAGGCTGTCATTTGATTTTCTAGGGCCGAGAAACAGCAGCACTATTGACTCCAAGTCTACAGCCTTGCAGAGTTCAACAACACGATCTAGTGGTGTCTGGCCGCCCCCTAGCCCTGAGCCAATCATTTTCTCACGTGGAATTCAAACTGGATTAAACAATGTTGGTGGGTACAGAGGGATTCGGACTGATTCAATCTCCTGATTAACAGCAAATTAATCCAAAATATCCTTTCCTTAATACAATACTTTTGTTGTTGCTGTTCACTACTCTACCTTCAGCACCTAAAACACAGCTTGGCACATGCAAGGCACCCAATGAGTACTGCTCAAAGAGTTACCTTTGTTAAAAGCCTATCTAGGAAATAGCTGTAAGGGGCCTCCAGTGAGGATTCCGTGTCACCCTGAACTGCCCCACTGGAGAGAAGCGGTTGTGTGTACTGAGAACGCAGGAAACGCTTCCCTTTGCTCATGCTCTCAGCTCCAGTCTGAGTTCCAGCACCACCTTCTCAGCTCAGTCGAGCTCAGGGCAGTCCTCAGATGGGCTTGCAGGCTTGCAAACTACTACCTCAGCCATGGGGGCCCTTGTTGAAGAAGATGAGGTAATCAGCCAATTCAGACTGTTTGAGCACGTATTTTTTGGAAACTTCTCTAATTACAGTCACTATAACAGATCTGCTAAAGGTAGTTTCATGATTAATGACTACCTGAAGTTACCATCCTCAAACTATTAAGCCATTGGAAAATACTGGGGGCTTAATACTCGTGTACAGACCCTCTTTCTCCTGAATATTTGCTATTTGGGGTTCTGGGTTTTTAGCTGCACCCAGGCTGTGTTTATTTCACCAATAACTGGGGAAACAGGGAGGGGCACGACCCCACAGAAGCCGGCGCCCACCTGCCCAAGTACTGGACCTGGGCTAGCTTGCCGCTTGCTCCTTGCCACCCGCCAGGCCCCCCGCCCATTGCTTCGCCCAAATCCTTTCAAACAAGGTTCCCTCCTGCCACCTGCCGGCCCACTAGGGTCTGCGCCACAGGCTCGGCGCCACCGCGCAGCTCGCGGGGAGGCGGCCCCCACCTCCTTACTGCACATGCCCGGCAGAAGTCCGGGCGCGCAACTTCGCAGAACCTCACTGCCCGTCCCTCCTCGCCTCAGTCTCCTCGGTCCTCTCCCAGGGAAGAGGACCGGCGGAAGCACCTCTCTCGAGTCTTAGGCTGCGGAACCTAAGACTCAGCGAGAGGAGCCCAGGAGGAGACAGACCTTTCCCCTCTTTTCCCATCCCTTCTTCTTGCTCAGAGAGGCAAGCAAGGCGCGGAGCTGTAGAAAGTTCTTAAGTGGTCAGGAAGGTAGGTGCTTCCCTTTTTCTCCTCACAAGGAGGTGAGGCTGGGACCTCCGGGCCAGCTTCTCACCTCAGAGGGTGTACCTTTCCCGGCTCCAGCAGCCAATGCGCTTTGGAGCCGCTCTCTGCAGAGCCAGAGGGCAGGTCGGCTTCTTGGTGTGCGCCTAAGAGGATGGATCGGAGGTCCCGGGCTCATCAGTGGCGCCGAGCTCGCCATAATTACAACGACCTGTGCCCGCCCATAGGCCGCCGGGCAGCCACCGCGCTCCTCTGGCTCTCCTGCTCCATCGCGCTCCTCCGCGCCCTTGCCACCTCCAACGCCCGTGCCCAGCAGCGCGCGGCTGCCCAGCAGCGCCGGAGCTTCCTTAACGCCCACCACCGCTCCGGCGCCCAGGTATTCCCTGAGTCCCCCGAATCGGAATCTGACCACGAGCACGAGGAGGCAGACCTTGAGCTGTCCCTTCCCGAGTGCCTAGAGTACGAGGAAGAGTTTGACTACGAGACCGAGAGCGAGACCGAGTCCGAAATCGAGTCCGAGACCGACTTCGAGACCGAGCCTGAGACCGCTCCCACCACTGAGCCCGAGACCGAGCCGGAAGACGAGCGCGGCCCGGTGGTGCCCAAGCACTCCACCTTCGGCCAGTCCCTCACCGACAGCCAGTCTCTCACCCAGCGCCTGCACGCTCTCAAGTTGCGAAGCCCCGACGCCTCCCCAAGTCGCGCGCCGCCCAGCACTCAGGAGCCCCAGAGCCCCAGCGAGGGGGAGGAGCTCAAGCCCGAGGACAAAGATCCAAGGGCCCCCGAAGAGTCTGAGGAGCCCAAGAAGGAGAAGCAGCGGCGTCGCTGCAAGCCTAAGAAGCCCACCCGCCGTGACGCGTCCCCGGAGTCCCCTTCCAAAAAGGGACCCATCCCCATCCGGCGTCACTAATGGAGGACGCCGTCCAGATTCTCCTTGTTTTCATGGATTCAGGTTAGTTGCCCACCGCTAAACTGGGGAGCCTGAGGGCGGTGTGGGAGCGGCGGGCGGAAAGGAGGTGAGAAGGAAAGGCAGGTCAGGGGTGAGTCGGAAGAGAGGAGGCTCAGTTGGCCAGCCCAGGACCGGGGATCAGGGTGAGGCGGCGAGGGCTCCCCCAAACTTTCCAGGATGCCAGGGGCGCCATGGTGGCCAGAGGTTTGTTGGACGGCGGGGCGCACACCGTGCGTCCAGCTGGAGACAACCTGAGGTCTCTCGGAGCTGGTGCCCCGGCTGCGCGACTGAATCCCGAACGCACCCCCCATTTGGAGCTGCACACCCAAACGGCATTGGTAAGTCACTTGTTTTGCGCGCCTTTCTTCCTCCTAGAAAGACTAGTCTCAAACAAGTTGGCCTTCTCAGGTGCCCAAAATGTGGTTCGGAGGTGCGCGCCAACTTTCACGTTGTGAGAGCAGCCGCGCTGTAGAGACACTGCTGCAATGTGTGGAAAGTAATCAGAATGGGATTGGGCGAGAACTCTGGAGACTGACCACCGGGAGGGAAGTCACGCGCGCGCGGCGCCTAAGCAGCTCAGAGCCGGGAGCCCAGGTCCCAGAGCTGCCAGTGAAGCCGCGGGACCTCCGCGCCAGTGCCCCCCGCTGCCGCGAGCCAGTCTTGGCCGCCACAGCCGCCACAGTCCGCCTCCCGGCGCTTGCCGGGACAGAGACCGCCTCAAACAGCGTGCGCACCTGCCCGCGCGCGCCGGAGCTGACCTCTCCCGGCGGCGGGCAGTTGGGGGGAAGTACTTGGGGGAAAGGTAGGGGACGTAAGGGGACCCCAGGGGGTGGCCCTACGGGCTACCAGGGTTGGACGCACAGGCATGGTCACGTCGGGGTATTGCCAGGCTTTTGGAGCAGCTGGTCAGGTGGCCAGGCTGCATGCAGCTTAGCAGGAGACGTCCTGGGCTGTTTGCGCAGGACCTCTGGAGGCCCTCAAGATGGTCGCAAGCGGAAAGGTAAAGCGGAACAAGGGACAGGCTGGAGAGGGGGGTCGCGTCTAACATCAGGATAACTTACAATTCGTTTCCAAAGAGCGCGGCACCCGCAGAGCTGGGGAAAGGTGTTCGATCCGGCGCCAGTCCTTGGACGATCAGTCGAAAAGGAGGCAGGGGCCGGCGGCTTCGGCAGCCTTGGGGAGGGCAGGCGGCGTGCTCCGGCCATTTTCAGCTCGGGTGGAGTTAAGTTTAGAATCTGTAACCTGGAGGGGAATCTGCTCTGGTGACCCAGCACAAAAACGGCCGCAATCTGGTAACGCACCTTCGGAAGCGAAGGCGTGCTCTCCTCGCCAGTCCTGGGGGGAAAGACTGATAAGTGAAATGTCTTTTAAAAATCTCATCCGACTTGGAAATTTTTTTTTCTGGTGTGCGTGTCTCATTTTGCGCCGGCTTGAATTATTCGGATGACAATGATTTAGAGGAAAAGTAAAGCGTTTTGAGGGCTTGAAATGAATGATGGTCAGGTTTTTAACTCCTAAGAAAAGGATGATGATAGAAGGAAAATACCTTAAATGGTCTTCCTTCCAGGACCTATTCCGTAGGAAAGGCGTCGCGGCGCCCAAGACTTAGTTCTGCTGGTCTGCAGCGCAAACTGTGGTTAGATGCCTTTGTGGTCTTCCGTAATAAATACGGATAAGCCAGTTTATTTGCAAGTGGTTTTCTGCGGCAGCAATGTTAGTCTCGGAAGTTTGGAGGCTGCGGAAGGGCTAGGGGTGCCCTGCTTTTGGCTTGCCCATAAATCGAAATTCCTACGTAATGTAAACAATGATGGTGTGTTGCTTTCTGTGACATTAAGCGTTCAGTTTTTCCTCTGGTAATGTCTCAGCCTGAGTTCACGAAGCAAAAGGTCTCTAGGGACAAGCAAGAGAAACCAGGGGTTGTGTTGAATTTTTTGGTGTGCCTTTCAAGTGTGGGCGCTATCTTCAGACTGGGTAGTCTGGGAGACCCGTTTTCCCACAAAGCTAGGTTTATTCATTAGAGAAATGAGCGTGTTGCCTTGTTGCAGGATGAATAAAGTTTTTTAAAAGCCCTCCGTGTCGAGCCCATACCTCACACCCATCTTGCTGTTTTTTAAACGGAAGCCCAACACAGGGAGGTTTCCTGAACTGTAAGCAATGTACCACGTTCACATGTAGCCAGGAGGGGCAATCTAGGAAAACACACCGTCTTTCAGACAGTCTTCCACAAACTGCCTCGCTATCTGCATTACAGCCCAATTGTGAAAACCTGTTACCTACCGGCACACACTCTCCCCGGCTCAATTCCCCTCCCCCAGCTTCCCTCTCTACACCCTGATTCAAGGGTGGAAAAGCCACTGCAGACCATACAAAGCAACGGAGAGATATACCAACCCCCCAGGAGAGCACTCATGACCCCCCCTGAGAAGACAGGATTTTGCTACATAGACTTAGCAAACCTTCTTTCTGCCCGAGAAACTGGTATTCACCTGCCTTCCTTTTCCAGAGCCATTTCTAGCAAGTTCCCCAAGCATTCCCAACTCACTAGTCTCCCAGCTGGCCCTTTGTCTACCCAGCTCAACCGGGGTTAGCATTTGAATAGGCTCACTTGCCCCTTTTACATAGGTGAGGTCTGAGGTCTGCTCTCAAGAAAAAGCAGATCTTACCATTAACCACATAGGTGAATTACCAGCCAGTTTTAATATTTCAAATGGGGGAGGAGAAGGAGCAGGAGAATAAAGCTAGTTAAACATGATGATATGCCCTCAATATTGAAGTTATTTCCTTTACTACATTAATCATTTGCTTAATGGAAATTTGCTTTTTGGGAGGAGGGGAGGACGACCCAAAGGTGCTCTTGTAACTGAACTTATTTGAGCTGGGAAATTATGCTGCAATGTTCCAACACTGTGTGGGGTCAACCTGATGTAGGTTTAAAGTTTTGCAAACAGAACTCTTTATGTTCATCAGAATTCAAGAATTAGAAATGTTACAGTTTGGGATTGTTTTGAGATGTTTCTTTAACGCACTGCAAGCCTTTCTCACTCTGGAGCTGCTTACAGCCTTTGACTCTTCAGCCTTCATTTCCTGCAGCTGTGTAGGTTAAGGAGGAAGAAAGCTGAAACTTCAGTGTTGGTAAGAATGAGGTTTTTTGCTTTTTAAATAATCGACATGGATTTACCTCAATTATCAGTTATTATTATACTGCTCTTCAAGAAGAGGGAAGCTGTTGAGAGGAAACTGAGCAGAACCCATAGTGTGAGTAAAGCGTGTCTCTTAACTGGAAGGTGATCTATTCACAAAAACCAAATCACTTAAATAAAATTAAGCTTCCAGGCCAGTGACGTCATGTGCTGGCTCAAGCGCTGCTCTTCTCTAAAAAAAACGCCCAGCAGAGGGATGAGATGCTCAAATGACATCTTTAATCCCCATGTTCAAGAATGAGAGATGGAATTTCTTGTTCTGTTGGGGGGTTTTGACACTAATGACTCTATTTCCTGTAACTTGATGTCCCAAACTGGAGCAGTGGGATCTAAGACAAAATGCCTGGGGCTAACAGCCCAGGTTGCTTCTAGCCATGGTCTTGTCAAGTGGCCTTAGGTCAGACCCTACACCTCTCTGCCTCAGTTTCTTCTAAAATGAGGTCGCTGAATGAGATGATCCTATTTATCCCTTTCTGCTCCAAATGTCTAGATTGATTAGTTTAAGAAGGCTGGGGTTGTCCAATTTGACTCTATACTAGTGATTTTAACCCTAATGGAACTCCAAAAAAACTTCAAAAGTTGATCAAATAAAAAGCACCAGCTAGAGATCACGCCATTGCACTCCAGCCCGGTCTACAGTGTGAGACTCTGTCTCAAAAACAAAACAAAACAAAACAAAAACAAAAACCCAAAAAGCAAAAAAAGCACCAGCTATGAAGAAATCTGTTTTGTGTTGGTTTCATGTAAATTTTGTCAAATCTGCCTTACAGTTGGTTACAAAATGGTCTAAAAAAGCAGTTTAGAGAATGCAGAATTCCACTGTGTCCTTTCCCTAAACTGGAAAAATTTAGCCATCCTGAGAGTCATATTTAGTGTGTGTTTTATGTGTGTGTGTGTTCCCCACCTTCTCTCCCTGACCTTGGTGCCTAAGAACAAGCTTTTCAGAGCAGGAGCAGGCAGCATGGCTGCAAGTACTGACCTAGTACTGCGGCTTGGAGAGGCTAACCACTGTGGGAGACGGTAGACTGATGGGAACATTGGTTAAGTGACCACAAGTGTTGTTGAAAGATTTTTGGTAACAGTTTTAAGTGTTCTGGTTAAGCTAGACCTGAAAAAAAAAAATGGCATAGAAGCTACAGTTTTCTCAACCTTTGTTTTTTTCATGATCACTCCCCTCTTAGCTTCTTCAGACATATACTTCTTATTTGCCCTTCCCCATGATATTTTAATACCACGGACATATAGCTATACCCCATTATCTGTTTATGTACTGCAGGACCCTGTCACAACTAAGACTTTTTGCACACTGCATACCCCAAAACCAATTTTGCCTCCATCACAGATGCACGAGATAAACAAAGCAAATATTTCAAA